CATTATTATATTATTTATTTTATCGTTTGTGTCCGTCGTAGAATGTCGTCGTCCTCTCTTCGGCGGTTTCTTGGTTAGCTCGCTCGTGGCCGTTTCAAAATGCAATACGATTCCCATCCACATCATTTGTCTGCTGATAATGCACGCGGTTGCCTTCGAACGTTTGTAACGATATGCTTTATCACGTGCACAACTTCAAGATGATAATGGCAGTAAAGTTTTATCGTATCGAAGAGAATAAAAACCGTTCGACCGTTTTACGTCTGGCCAACGGTGATAATCATCGGAAAGCTATTATTACATTTATGTCGTCCGTGCGCCGGTCTTGCTCCGCGTGAAACTATTATCGGTCGTCTTGCTCGCGTATTATGGCTGTGCATCGCTAACGCGCCGGGTCCGGGCCTTGTCGGCCGTCTTGGTTTAGACTCCGATTTTACCTGTTGCTGCTGGTACCTGAGCTACGGGCGACGTTTTCGAAAAGGAATTTCAATCGCCGTCGAAACACCATAGCGTATAGATTCTTAACCTTTTCTGAGCCTTGAACCCCTTTAAAGCATAAAATATAATCACGAACCATCATCCTTCAAAAAAAAAAAAAAAAAAAAATACATATGTGTATAAATAAATAAATATATTTTTTATTTTAGTTATTTTTTAAAGATAAATCTAAGACTTAATTCTATATTAAATTATTGTGAATAATCATTTTTCTTTTACTTAAAAACAAGTTTTAATGTGACATTTGCTGTGGTTTTGATTGCAATATTACCTTGAAATCTGGGACCGTATTGGACAGAGCAACGCGCATATTGTTCTTAATGTTCAATCGATTTCTTGCCTTATTTTTTATTGTGACAGTTGTAGAAAATCCAAACTCACAGAGATAGGTAGTAACGAATGAAATCAAACATCACAGCCACGCCGAAGACCCCCGAGTAACCATATACGAATCCCCAAAGGGTCCATGGACCCTCGGTTAAGAACCTATGCCGTAGTGCATATAGTTGGTATTTGTTGTGTGTAATAATAGAGTTGTATTTCAATAGTTCGATTAGTTCGATAGTTCGTTGACCCGTTGTCGGTAACACTTTTACTGACTCAGACTTTTCTTTTTCCTAATATATATTTGTATAAAAAAATAAATTAATAAAAATAATGCCGAGTCATCTCAGAGGGCAAGTCAAGGAATCGAATAATGTTGTGAACGAACTCTACCTGGTCCGGGGTTGAATAAACTGTAGATTCGATTGAATACGTTAAAAATCGTGTTGTTATGTGTTACTTACTGTACTTTCTGGATGCACTTTAGTCTATTAATCGCTGTTATATAAACTTGGCGTCAAAGGTAATATTTTTTATTTTGTTTTGTTCGTAACGTTCAACAATCCGTGCACATTTGTAATAAATAATTGTTGTCTAATCGTATAAAAAAAAAAAAAAAAGATCAAGTTCACATTCGCGCACGTATGGTGTAAATCAATCGTAGAAAGTTTAAACCGACTACGATAGTTTCATGTTTCGTGAATTAAAAACAATAGAATTAGAAGCATATACTCGGTATCAGTGTGTAATAAGACAAACTGTGATTTTACATCAAGAGGACGTTGACCGATAAAAACATTTCGTAAGAAAATCGCATGGATTATCTTAATAAATTAAAGAACCGACAACGAGAGCCTATTCGCTATTATTTTTTTTTTTTTTTTATCAAATTATTATATATTATCTGGGTTTCGTTTTACAGAAATTGTTTTTTTTCCCGGTTCGCGAACAATAGCTATTAGGCTCTAAACGGAATGTTCTCGTCGCCCCCCGGATTGAAACGAAATTATCGAAATTATTAAAAAAAAATCCAATAAAAATAAAAAAATAAATAACAATAGTATCAATATAATACCGGAGCTCGCACTAACACGTACACACATTTCGCATGCACCAACACGCGCTCTCTCTCTCACACACACACACAAACACACGACAAAAATAACTCGTTATATCAGCAAAAGTTGCTATCACATTTTTTTGCGCATCAGATAAAATATATTGTAATACACCTAACCCAGTGCGTTTCTCGTGGGATCCGGCACGAGTGACGTCAGTCGCCAAAAGGATTGAATTGCGCACAGGTTTTCTAAACATACCTAGTCAGTTAATCACGCTCAAACACGCGCGCGCGCGGGTAGTTGATAATTAACGTTTAATAATATAAAAAAAAAAAAAAAATTAACAATAATAACAGTTTGCACGGCCTACATCCGTTTAAGTGTTGCTGAATGCTGATGGTCTTTTATCAGTGGACCAATGACTAAATAGTTTTGAATTTTTTTTTCCCTCCTATCGCATTTTAACCGACACGCACCGCACGCGCACGTACACTGCACGCTCGTTACTCGTTAGAACAAGGTGCTCAGGATACAGAATGATCAAGAAACTGCTCGCAATTTGTTTGTAAGTTTTTCGTTTTTTTTTCGCTTTATTATTCTTTTCGTTTTTTTTTCCACGCGATCGGTAAATTTTACATTTTTTTCCCCCGATTCCGATTACCGCTCTCCCGCACACGCGCCACTGCCGTTGGACAGCAATAGGAAAATATCCGTTTCCTCTGTCACCGCTGTATTGTATGTAAATAAAAATTTCAACCGTCCAATAGAAAGAAAGTTGTACCTGCAGCGGTCGTACAACCCATCGTGAGCTTGATGAGCTTTGACCTCGTCCGTCCGCCTAATATACGTCGCAATGTTTCCTTCGAAACCGACATACTATTTCCCATCGTATGTAATCGATAGGCGGCGAATAACGTTATTATTTATTTTCAAGCGACCGCTGTACGACTGGAGTGTAAAATATAATATTGTTGCGTTGCTATCGTACGTACCGTGTGTTGTTCGTGTGCAGTGCGTACCTGTATGAAGCTTAACCGGTCTTGTCAGCAGGTCATCTGGAACGAAGAGAAATAGAAAGTGGTAGCGATTCGTATAATACATATACACATATATATATATATATATATAATGTATACGGTTGCATCTGGCGTGGGTTTGTATTTGTTTGTGTATATGACGACGATAATGGGACTTAAGAAAAAAATAATAATAATAACAAATTCAACGGAAAAAGATGAGACCGCGTACCTAATTAACTCGGTGTTGTCCGTTGTTTGACGATTGCAATCGATTCGTATACGTTCTGCCGATGCATTGCGATCATATACGTTTCGATTGCGCTCGAAAAATTTAACTTATTGTGCATATTTGTATCGACATTTAAATATAAACGACAAGTTATTTTTTTGTTTTCTAAAAAAATTGTCGTCTCGTAAACCGCTTCGCGAATAGTATACGAGAACACAACGCGATGTTGGTCGAGGTCATGGACAAAATATTGTCTATTACTATCTTGAATATATTCTGTTAAATGTATTGACGTTTGTACGCAATTCGCTTTTTAATCTCCTATATACGTATAAATACGTGTGTACCGAGGCATCGCATAAAGTCACGTTCCAACTGTAATCAAAAATCAATAATCCGCTTTATCAAATAAATACACTAACGAGTATTTCCTCGATTCGCATCGATTCGAGGGCGTACACAGGGACATAGTTTTATTGTTGCGTCCCGTCACCATATTGTTTTCTACATCGTCATCACCACATTTTGATCGCCGAGTACTGAACTAGAAATAAACTACGTGCATCTACTTCCGTCCAAAGATCTAGTATACGTCTGGGATCGATTAATGCACTCAAATATACAATAGTGTAATAATTATTATTTTTCAAATCACAGAGTAACGTGTTTTTCTAACATAATACGCGATGTCGGTTGGATATGATAAGAACTGTTTTATTGAAGTACCTACTGCCAAATTGTTGTGAAAAATACTATATGAACCGAAACGTTGAGCACGTTACTGACGATCAATTACATTACTTTATTCGTAACGACATATTTTAATAATTTGTTATAATAAGAACAAATTATGCGTGGTTTTTTTTTATTTTATTAAAAAATGATTCTCGCTAGTTCATACTAAGCAAAAAGAGTTTCGATGGTATTTCAAACGCGGAAAAGTATAAGAAAGATATTTCATACTCAACCATTATTTTAACTGTCCCAGCGAAACGAGTTAACGCCACGTTCAGTTATACGTATAATATACATAAAGTATGTAAATAATATGCACACAAATTTAACTATTAATCGAAAACGTACGTACGTATAATGCGCGTGTAGGTAGAATATAATATCATAATACAGTTCTCGGTGGTAGTATCAGGTGTATGTTTTTATACCACGAATAATAAGGTCATTGAAACCAAATCTCGTTATCATATATATACCTTATAAGACTGGCTTGCGTGAATTAAACACTACGACACGGCTAAGCGAAATCGGAAGTTTGCGTTTTGTAGCCCACGAGCCTGTGCCTATTAAATCGTGGCAATTTATACATTCCGCTGGGCGCGATATTAATATGCACATGACATTGGTACGATGTTGATATTATAACAGGGGACAAACAAACACTGCTCGCGATTCGATTTGTTATGACGTTGAAGTTTTTCGTAAGGGTCAATTTTGTTTGTACAACGTAACACTGTAATAACGATTCAAAACAAACGGAATTCGCCTATGAGTTTTTAATCGGTGTTAACTAATACTAAACGATCGAGACCCGAAATTCGCGAGCGTTAAATTAAAATCGGTCCGTATGTTCGTCTGGTGGTAGTGTATGCGCATGTACATTATTTATAGCCGGTTCGTTGACACATCTGCGTGCAACGGCGGGCGGCGTGGGTCGGTGAACCTCTAGTGCGCGATAAAAAAAAATAAATAACGTTTCGTCTGATGATCGAATGATCGAACTGCAGTGGCGATTCGAATTAATAAACAGAAAAAAAAAAACAAAAACCGGTCGCGCTTTCGTTTATAACTTTGCACGATTATGTATTGCCGATACGATTTATTGACTAACTGTTGTGAACCGGTGCGTTGCAGGTTGGAGAACGGCGTGAACGCACAGGAGCCCCCGGAATGCATGCACCCGTTGCCGGCGCATCGGCCGATCGAGCTGACTTTTACCAACCTGGCGGTGAAATTGGACGACAAGCGACACGTGCTGAAAAACATTAGCGGAGTCGTGAAACCCGGACAGGTGTTGGCCGTAATGGGGCCTTCGGGTGAGTCCGACACGCTTCGTCGAGTAAATATTATGAACGCAACACGATCATAATAATATCGTATTGCTGTGCAGACGGTATGGAAAAAAAAAATCAAAAATATTGTCCTGAATAGGGCGATAACGTAAGGTCTCACGGCGGCTATACCTACGAATTTCACCGCGTAAATCATGGGCGTATTTTAGGGGGGGGGGGGGCAATCGCCCATCCTGAATCCGTATTTAAGTAATTGATTATATGTGAGATACACATGTCAAATTTTTTTAATGTAGATCATTTTATAACGAAATCAAATTACACGTTGCTGTGAATTGGGCTTTTTGTCGAGTCCATACTTACACTGGAAATCAAATAAAACACTAGCGTAACTTTCAAAACACAGACAGGTGTTAAAACAGAACTACACAAAAGTCAATTCTAAGTGGATCCGGCATTAGATTAAAAAAAAAAACCAAAGATAATTAATAATAAATTAAGGATTCCTCTATTTAAATATTACCAAATTAACTTAATACAATATTAATATTATGATATAATATAATATCTTAATAACTTGTAAATTTTGAGCTTGAATTAAAGAAAAAATTTGGTTCGCCCCTCCCCCTAGAAGTAAGTCTAAATACGCCCTTGGCTTATGCCGTTACGTCGTGCTTCTTACAAGTTCCGATCGCATGAAAAGCGATTTTTTTTCTCTCCCGTTACGGTCCACCACCATACGTTTTGCAAGCCGGCTGGCTATTTACTTGATTTAGGTGCACCACGTACCAGTGTAATGTAAACATAAATTTATTTTCGCCCTACGATAGGTTGCGGAAAAACCACGCTGCTGAACTGCTTGTCGGGCCGCATCAAGTTGGACTCGGGATGCATACACCTGAATCGCGAACGTCTGAACAAGAGGTGCAAGCGGCGCATATGCTACGTGTTGCAGCAGGACATATTCTTTCCAGACCTGACCTTAAGGCGAACGCTCGAAGTACGTATTTAAGCACCGTAAATCGCGCTCGGAGCGAATGACAACCGTGTGGGCGTAACGATGATAATCGTTGTTAATCATAATTTGCGATCGACAAAAATGATATCCGTGTTGACTAACCGAATTTCGCTTTCGTTTTTTACATGTTCGCTCTACTCACAGTACGCCGCTCTGCTTAGACTTCCGGATTCATTATCTCACAGCCAGAAAATGCAGTACGTCGACCATATCATAGATGTACTCGATTTAAACAATTGCCAAGACACGAGTACGTATATTTAGATTTGTACACACCTCCTACCGCATAATATATGATTATAAACAATGCCAAGTGTATACAACAGTTACACACACACACAAATATTTGTGATGGGAAAATTTCGGATTCGAAAATCTGAATTTTGCTTTAAAATCGGATTTTCAGATAATCCGGATTTACGTCACATCACTTATATTTATATATATACATGCATACATTTAGATTAATAATTGTATTAGGAAAACTGTCGGAAATTATAGGATGGTATGAATGCGTAGTTTAATGGTGTACGCTTTGTTTGCTCTGCTGTAGTAATGCTCTGTTGCATAACCGATCGAGAAATGAAACCGCATCGAAAATACGAAAAAGCGAATAACAAATGTATATTACGCTAATAAAGGTTAGCCAAGGTTACCCATCGAACGAAGTGTTCGTATTCATCAACCTTTACTTAAAATATACAACGGTTTTAAAACAAATAAATAAACTTGAACATTTAACTTTAAATTTTGATTAGAATTTTGTTCATATACTTACGCGTTTTACCTCTTTCTGTATAATTTTTGTTATTAAAATGTACCGTTTAATTTACATTATTTTTAATATATAGTTTAAATTTTTTTTATTTTATATTTTAATATTTTTATTATTAATTAAGTTATCTTATTATGTTATATCGTAAGAATTTTTATGTAATCTCATATGCCCTCGAGAGTTATTTAATAAAATAGATTAATAAATAAAAGAACCATGGATTTTTTGTTAGAAATTAATAATTTTTGTTTTTAACATTTTCGCTTCAAAAACTATACTCTGTTCGAGATTAGGCAAATAAAACATGATGTCTAGATTTTTACCGTATACCTTTACGCAACGAACTTCAACTTCTCAGTTGAATTTCGACGTCTTCTTCCAATCCGAATTCAGTTTACAATCTTATTGTAAACCGTATAATTTACTGTTAATAAATGTTATTACCTCTACTTGTAAATACTCATATAATATATAATGCGGGGGCTAATAAAGGCTGTATTTCATTGAGATGTTAATTACTCGCTTGTTTCCTTGTTGTTCTTTACCAAACGGTGGTTCTGACTACAATTTATCGGCGAAAATTAAATTGTATTTGAGAGCGTACATTAATTTTTCTTATCAAAACACATACAGAATTCATGATTACGATTAATGTTATTCTGTAATATTAAATTGGGAAGCATTATATTATAATATTTTTCAATTAAAGGTGTTTAAAATTCAAAACCTAGGACGTTATACCGCAAGTCATTATGAGCTGACACTTGATTGATTTGACGATAAGACTCGTGTGTTTGTGTTTTTTATTTGTATATTTATTTTTTTATCCGATTTCAGTTATCGGTGATTATATGAAGCGTGGATTGTCTGGGGGCGAAAAGAAACGAGCGAACATCGCCTGTGAACTTTTAACCAACCCTGCCCTGATGCTTTTGGATGTAAGTATACACGACCGAACATCGCACTATATAACATATGCATTTTGCTGATCATCATTGATATTAACAGGAACCCACGACTGGATTAGATTCGCATTCGGCTTATAAATTGATGTTATCGCTAAAGAAATATGCGGAGAATGAAGGAAAAACAATCGTAGTCACTGTTCACCAACCGTCGTCGCAAATATTTCACATGTTCGACAAACTACTTTTAATCTGTAACGGACAAGTACGAAACACTGCCAAAACAGTTCTTGCACAACGTTCATTCCACCAGTTATTAACAAATTGTTATCCTATGTTTAACAGACCGCGTACTTTGGTGACATCAATAAAGTAGTGAATTTCTTCAGTAATATCGGAATGATGATAGCACCACACTACAATCCAGCAGATTTTATTTGTAAGTTTATTTCGTATTGTTTTCATCAACTAATTGGCGTAAAAAATAAGTATATCATAACATAAGGAATAAAAAATTACCACCAAACGGTGGTGCCATCTATCGTACATTGCAATCGGGAGGGAGGGAAGGTAGTACGAGGACGAAGAAGAAGATAATATAAACATACATTTATTTTGTAATTTTATGTTTGGGTTTGTTTTTTTTTTTTTTTTGCAGTGGAACAAGTAAAAGGTACTGAAGAAATGAAACAGAATATAATTGCTGCTGCCAAACGAGCCCAGGATGATTATTATCAACAAGAATTGTTACATTTAACGTGTACATGCGACAAATATCTGAATAATTATCGCCACAATCATAGCAAAGGTATATTATATTTGATTGAAACGGTAACAAAAAAAGTACTCGTTCGCAGACTAATAACGAACATTGTTTCTAGATAAATACAATAGTCAATGGCCCATCAACGCTACCAACGGTCATATCTGCACAGCATTCAGTGATTCGTCTACAGACAGCAATGAAAAATGTTACACTGCCATTAGAGGTACTTATATGCAAAATAGTGTTTTGATTGTATCATATTTTATCCTGATTTTATTCTGATAATAACATATTTTGATACAGTTAACGAAGACGAGGCGAGAACCTTATGGCTGGACAGTCAGAGCCATTCTTCGACGTCTACATCAGACGAAGATTTTACTTGGCAATGGCCTACCAGTTTCTGGACCCAATTCAAAGTAATGGTCTTTTTCTCGTTCACTGTTTAAACGATGATATGTGCTTACAATATATGAACATAACTATAAACTACACTCGTCTCAGGTGTTGATCCAGAGAAACTTCCATGAAGCACGTCCTCAAATGTTGAGCACTCTGAATTGGGTGCAGACCGTTGCGCTCGGCTTGTTGGCCGGTCTCCTTTGGTTTCAGCTTCCGCGTACAGAACAATCTTTGCACAACATCCAGGGATGGATGTTCTTTTCCACTACTTATTGGATGCTTTTCGCTCATTTCGGTACACTGTCGTCTTGTAAGTATATACACGCACCTATCTCGACTATTGGTCTGGACGTTCTAATCGATAAACCATGATCCCGTTGTTCTTTTCCAGTCCCTCCAGAAAGAGAAGTGATCAATAAGGAACGTCAGAGCGGGGCGTATCGTTTGAGCGCCTACTATTTGGCCAAGATGGTGGGCGAGTTGCCGTTAACCATTACCTTGCCGGTCGTCTATCACGTGATCTCTTATCCGATGCTCGGCATGCACAGTTTCAGCACGTTCTTCACCCTGCTAATGTTTCTGCTACTGAACACCATCGTTGCCCAGGTAAAAATTTAAAACGTTCGGCTGTGATTGTTTATGTGTCGCGCGATCGACTTGAAAACTTTGAAAAAAATTGTATTCGCAGAGCGTCGGATTCTTCGTGGGAGCATTGTGCATGGACATGCAAGTGTCGATCACCATCAGCGCCCTGTACACGCTGGCCACGCAACTTTTCGGCGGCTACTTGGCGACCAATATTCCTAGCTGGTTGCAGTGGATGCAATACCTGAGTATGGTGCACTACGCGTACCAGAACATGCAAATCGTCGAATTCGGCGACGGAGAACCAATCAAGTATGACGAGTCGTAACCGTTTATTGGTTTTTTTAATTTATTTTTTACGTACATTGTCTACGGTGTTTGTTTCAACAATTTCGTTTGCTTTCCAGATGTGCGGAACAGTCCAAGTACGCGGTGTGTCAGAACTCAACTGTTATCCCGGCATCGGACATCGTCAATGCACAAGGTGCATCGTTCCCATTGTGGCTGAACACAATGATTTTGTTCGGCTTCCTTATCGTGTTCAGAGTGTTAGGTTATCTAGTGTTGCGTTTCATCCGAAAACCAAAGTAAACGCCTGAAACCGTTGATGGCTGTGAGCGGTTAACGTTTTTAATTATTAATCGTTTTGTAAAACATAAATATGGCTGTGTCAATTTAGACATTATAATATTTTTTATCTCGTTATAAATATTAAACTTAGAGACTCGTTTTTCAACTCAATAATACCCCCGAACTCATTTCCTAACGCTAAAAATTTGGTGCTTGTGCCTATTTTGATCGGATTTCGGGAAAAGCGGTGTGAGATGTGTGTTAAACATATACTATGTCGTCGCACTGTTTTGATTTTTTACTACATCGTAATAATGTTTTTAAATGTTGCATAAAAATTATTTTAAGACTTTAATTACCTATTTTTTTAATTTTTAAAAATCATTGTATAATTATTGTTTTATTGAGTCGAACGTACAGAATTTTCTTGTCGCAAATACCTCGGATGAAATTTTGTTATATATATACATACTGTTCGCACAGATTTTCGTTACTACTTAGATAATCACATTTTTAATTTTTAATTTAAAAATGCTTTATTAATTTTAATCGAATCACTATTCACCGTTATTTTATTTTATAGTGTATGAGTAATACATTTTTTTTTTTTTTTTTTTTTTTTTTTAATTATAAACATTGTATTTATTTTAAATTTTTTTGTTCTTATTTATTACCATTTAAGCGGTACAAAAAATGTTAATTTTGTTAATATATGTGTATATGTATGTATATGTATATATATGTATATACATATATGTATATATATATATATATTTTATTTTTTGTAATTGGATAGTTTTTGTAAGCAATAATAATTTCTAACTACAGTATCTGTAATTATTGACTAGCCTGTATAAAGTCATTTGTTTTTATTGTAATACAATATAAAATTTCTATTATTCAAAAAAAAAAAAGAAAAAAAAAGGTTTTATTTTGTTTTTTTCTGTTTAACATTACATTTTAATTTTAATTTATATCAATACCATTACTTTTTCGGTTCAATCTGTATTTAAAACACTGCCAAAATACAGTTATGTTCCAGAATTAAATGTTGATTGGATACAGCTTTAACCTACCTACTTGTTTTTACTCATGGAGAGTAAATGTATTCAGATGATTAAATTTTTTGTTATTAAATAGACATTTCAATATTATAATCGAACAAAAAGTTTTACTCATTGTTAATGGCCTCTTAGCGCCTAAAATTAAAACGAAAATAGAAAATGTTTTCAAATTTAAATATAAGTATCGTCCATGGATTATATCAGCATCTACATAATATTATTAGTATCTAAACTACATTTCACCTGCCATAAATAATATATATAAATATATACAGGCATATGTTTTTATTGTATTGTATTTTGAGTATTATGTGTACAAAAATAAAATATATGATTAAATATATATTTGTGTACGCCTAATGTAAAATTACTGACGCATGGTTAATGTACTCTGTTCTGAATAAGAGTGCGTCTTGGCTGTTGATTACTGTGTGCCACCAATAAGCCGATGATAGAAGACGCATTCGTATTCAAATTGAACGTCTACGTAACATTCTTGATCAGTGTACTTATGTATTCTATTTCACATGAGCATGTGCTGTGTATAATGTATTGATACTGAATGTAACTACTACTAGATCCAGTGTAGCGTTTACGAACGAATATTTGACCAATTCGTGCAAATGGTTCGCTAACATTGATCTACTATTGGTGAATCGAATATCTGATGTTTATGTATACAAAAAATTGTTTTGATACCCTATACTATTATGTAAGCAATCCTATAATTTTTTTTAATTTGTCTTTTTTGTTATGATGTGTATGCATATTATACATGTAAATCGATTAATGTACCAGATACCGTTGTGTATAAATTTTTTTTTTTTAAAGATGATCATTAATTACTTTGTGAGTTTTATAGTATTTATTTAGTGTTACTGATTTATATTGTTTAATTCGAATGTTTAACTATTATAATCTTGTAACCTGAATATGGCTTCTAGCCAAGACCACTAGTTACCAATAAATGAATAATAAATTATATTCTTGAAACTATATACTCTATGTATTTTGATCTAACCATGTTCACAAGTATTAACATTTATCAAACATAAATATCAAATAACTGATAACTATCTGTAATTCTCAGATGAATTAATTTGTACAGTTGCAGACTGACAAAAGGCACAAACGTCTCATCCTTTTTTCATTCAGGACTTTGTTTCTTCCCAAATGGATATAATATTGAGGTGGGTCTATAGCTCCCATCAAGATTTAGTATTAGTGTATAAATAAAAATGATCACTCGCTATGTTTTACAATTGAAGTATATTAAAATGATGAAAGTTTACTATATATACCTAATACTTCTAGTAGTTGATTTCTTAATATCATTTCAACCAATTGCATTCTGTAATTATTTTTCTTCATTCATTAAAATAAAATGTACAAAAATGTCTTGCTGCAATATATTTTATTAAGTAATTTTCAACTTTAAAAAACTCCTTTCACACCCTTCTAGCTTAATAGACAATGTTAAAATAAGTTTTTAAGTAGACTTTCCATTCGTCCTGGCCGATTATTCAGTTTGTTCCGGTTAATATAAGTTGAGAGAATAAATATTTAATATTGTACATCATATCATTATATATATATATAATTATATATTATATCATAATAATCATATGGTTATGATATAAATCATATTATGATTATCGAATCGGCATGATCGTATACAATAATAATGTATTTTTGTATAAGTTAATAAATGTTTAATTACAAAAATGATATATCTATTTTTGTTTCCATACGAACATTAAATAAAAAGGGTCGTTCAATATGATGCCCCGGTTTAGGGATTTCAAAATCTTGCAACTCTGTTTTTAAGCAATGAGAATATTGGAGTATTCGTGTGTATGTTGTACTTCACCAGGTCATCAAAGCAACAGAGTACACAATCATTTGCTATTCGGACTATGACTGCATGATACTAAACCTCCATCATCACATGAACACTTTACGAAAACAAAATTAAAATCATATTATGAACATTGAATATATTATTAAATTTAGAAATATATTAGTTAATTTTTGTTATTACCGTTTATATTGTCATCGTAGTATTTTGGTTCTTTGTATACACAACCAATATCTATTTATTTTTATTAATTTCCATTCAGGGGCGTAATTAGGAGGGGAATAGGGGGATGGATCCCCCCCAAAACTTTTTTTATTAATTATATTGTGATAATACGATTATTATCATTATTATTATTATTACGATTACTATTATTATTATTATTATCATTAAAATTTAAATTATTAAAAATTTTGTTCTGGTGGGGTGAGGGGGGGTACTGTATGAGGTGTACAGATTTTGCTAAAATCTTTAATCCCCCCTAACCAAATTCCTAATTACGCCACTGTTTCCATTTTTATATTGAATCTGTGTGTTCATTTTGAAAGTCTTCGTATATGATTTCTGGTCAATATTTTAAATTCTTTTCGAGCACACCAATAAAAGCACATCAATCGAATCTTGAAGGAATACTTTCAATATCAATATGCCGCTACCAGTATTACGAAAGAACAATTTATTTTCTTTACGGGTTCGGGACTTCTGAGTTTAATTATAGGTGAAGGTCTACCGGGAAGATCCTGATATCCCGGATGGGTCTGTTCGCTCCCATGGGCATGATCGAGTCTGAAAACATTTCGTTTACCTATTTTGATATCAACCTGTTGCTCGATTGTTCAATTTGCATTTAATTTTTTTCAATAACGTAGGTCCATCGTGCACAATAATAAAACGTTACTTGCGGTCGTAATAAATAACTGTTAAAATTTAAAACAAAGTTAAACAATATGTATATTATATATTAATGTTGATTGAAAATGTTACGTTATGCATAATATTTCTCACGTATATAACACCGTGACAGGTTTTAGTCGATAGTAAAAGTGTAAATAATTTTTTTTTAAATAATATTTTTAATGCACACGATCTAAGGATCATGTTCGTTATACATTAGTAATACACTAAAACAACGATCGTGAGTTCGAGATAGATATTTTGTAGTAAAATTTAAACATCAACGATCAATGATCATCGCGTTTGCAGGCGGATTAGAAGCAATGTGTATCCGTTGTTCTAGAATAAAATTTGCGTTCATCCACTTCGCAACTTATCATTACCCCTTCGTAGTTTTATATTATATATAAATAAATGTATATGGGTGTGTGTGTGTGTGTGTGTGTTGGTGTACATTTTTGAGCAGTACAAAAATATTATATGATTTCCCTTAGTTGTAGTAAATAGTTGGTATTACGCATTATGTGAGTAAAATTTGACGTATCAACATTATTGGTTTGTGATTCATTACGTAATACCGAAAAAAGATATTGATTTTCATACTTTATTGAATATCGCCTGATATTGTGTAACGGAAATAAACGTTTAATCTTTAGATCTCTGTTCTACGAGTTCGGTAAAGCGTACAGGCACCCTCGAGAAAAATGTAAATTTATTTCCGTAGTTTTTCAGTTTACATATGTAAATACTTTTGAAAATACGGACAACGTAAGAAATCAATGGTGAACGATTGAATCAAGAAGGTTAACTTATAATGTACTGGTGTGAAACTATTCGTTTTAGATTTATTTTTTAACCATACATTTTATTTGGACGTAAATTATCAATTATTCAATAACAATTATTGTGTTACACTCGTGATTTTCTCGATGACGATGATCATTCATATCAAACCGATAAATTATTTTCACAGCAAATACGTATTAAAATAATAATAATTTTCCCTAGCTCAACCGGCCATGTTCTACCGTCCGCAAAGCACAAACAGTTCAATCTTATAAGATGGTAGTTCGGTAATTGTTTTAAATTAAATTTTTTTACAAAACGAAGTTGAGTACACATACGAAATTTCTATCATAAATACACGAGCATATGTATGATAAAGACCTACGCAGGTCTAGTACTTTTCTAAGTCAAATGGGCCAGTAGATAGTAGTCGGACAATTTTTATTATTTTTGAGCTGGTACTTGAAGGGCCCCAAAAAACGTCACCTCACAAAACGATAAAAAAAAGTGCTTAAAAATTGCAAAATATTATAATTTTTTAATGATATATAATTATTTTTAATGTTAAGTATATGATTTGCTGATTATTTATAATACTACAATGTTATATAAATAATACGAATAATACCTTATAACTTAATATATTATTTTTAATGATAATAAATTGTAATGTTGATTGTTTTCATAATGGTCATTTTTAATAAAGTATAATTATTTTTTACCGGCCATTTACTAAACAACTAAATAACATCCGGTCCATCGAAACCATGAAAACGTACATATGTATTCCGATTGCCTATATCATCTCATTCATTGATTTCTAGACTCATTCTACGAGTGCTTACAGTTGAGAACGGACGTCTTGAATTTTTTTCTCTCTTCATTAGCCACTGACTTATATTTACTACAACTATTTCGCGATGGATAGAAATCAACAACAATATGGACAACGCATGTTGATGAACTCTGCCAGTCGCCAATGCACCGAGTGCAGGCGCCATCCGGCTGGTCGACAGATGGCAGCAACCTCAGGACGCCGTTCGACTACGGAATACGTGTCGAACGTTCGAGACGGACGACCACGTACATCTTTGGTCGAAAGAGGCAACCGTGGTTATGGTAAGAGCAATAATAATGTTTTTCGTCCTAGGGATGTTCACAGGGAACAAGGGTCGAGTGAAATGCGGCGGATCGGCAGGACGCCAGAGTCGGGCAGCGGAGATACTTCCTCTCCACCGTTCCGGCGGTCTTCGTCACGAGCGCATCGCGCTGGACCGGGAAAAACGTTGCTCGTACACGGGCTGGATGGTGATATAAATTGCAACAAAATATTCAACATGTTCTGTCTGTACGGCAACGTGACAGCCGTGAAAATACTCAAGAAAGGACAGGTACTCGTCGAGCTAAACGACGTCGAGGCTGCCAAACGGTGCGTGGCCCACCTACATTTGATGCCGTTGGATCAGCAAAAAAAGCTGAAAGTGAAGTAAGCGATCATTTTTGAAATGTTTGGATCGTAATAGCCACGGCGTTGGGGTATTGAATTTAAATTCTAATCATGATCCTTGCCATCCGTTATTTACAATAATACTACACATGTCAAGGAAAATAAAGTAAAATTGGTGGCTCTTAAACGTTCATCATCCTCTGCCCTTCGTACAGGTGTGATTTCCATGTGTATCGTGTTCGGTTCTTTTAGGCTCAAATATATTGAACGAAATAACATAGTATAGTCAATCTAGGCAGTTTCTAAATTTTGAAATTTAAAAGTTTTATTTCTAATATATTCATTCTTATCGTCGACTACAAGAGCACTTGTATAATTATTATATCAATCGACATATCCTATGACTCCCATTGGACGTTACAGGTATTCCAATTTTTCTTATATACGAGATCAAGGAAAAGTAATCAGATTGCCGGACGGGACGCCGACAATGAAATATTACGATACCAGTAAACTTAACAGGTTTTCGTATAAAAAAAAGTTTATAAACGAGCGTCGAATCGCAGCACCGTCGAAGGTAAGTTTATACGTGTATTATAACGATTAAGTTGACGTAGTGGTATATAACCTGAGTGGTTCATAGTTGTTTCTCTTAACTTCTTCTTTCAATCGCCTTTTTTTTATTTCAATTGATATGACGGGAGCAATTATTTTACCTTTTTTTATATATCTCGATCGAATAACAATTACAACCAAAAATATATTAATTACGTGAATAGAGTGACATAGTAGTAAGTAGACACTTCCACGCCCACACCCCACGAAAAATCCCAAATATATCACTGCGTCGACGCATTGATGTAATATACTGATATAATAAAATAGATTGAAACTGCCTAATAGATTTTGCATTTCTTCAACACACCGTTGGATATAAGTGGCTCGCAGATTCGCAGGGCAGTGATAAACACCCTCAATTGCAAAGACGCGGTCCGATCGATTACAATTCGTTAGTCGTTTATCGAAACACTTGATTTTCGCAGTGATTTTATTTTTATGTTTTCTTTCAGTACCCCAAAAACATCCCGGTGCTAAATGTTCGACCGGCTTTTTGGAATTGAAAAGGGTTGACCTGGCGGCCAAAGTTATATTTTTGTTGAATCACATGCAGCTAGAATCGTCAAGTATGTTATTGTTATCATCCTCTCTGTACCATTGTTACAACTTTTATTTTTTTTGTTATGGGGTTTTTTGCTTTGTTTTCTAACGTTTGTTACTCGTGTATTTGTGTTGCAGGATCCAAATACCCGTTCCTAATGAAATTATGTTTTTCAAAATGGTCGGAGATGCGGCAAAAGTCCGAAGACTCAACTGCCCTTGTTTTCAACGCCACACCGCGTAACTCTCAGTGGTTGTTCCACAGACATGAACACCGAGTGTCCATGGTGGAGTATAAAGTGTCACGGGTAACGCGAGTGACCGACGAAGATTATCCCTGGACTTTATGGGATATGAGGGACCATGCGACGGAGGCCATTGACCCTGAAGCCGGAACTTCATCAGATACCCATTGCAGACCAAGTGATGAGTCGGGTACGTTGCTGAACCCGCAGACGGTGTTGCCAGGACTGCCAGTTGACGAGTGAACGTTCAGAAATTTGTTTTTATTTATCCTGTTCGTGGTATATCTCGAATTTGAACGTATAATAAAACATCGTTCTTACGAATTGTGTTGTTCCTCTTTACGTAATTATTGAAAAATTAAAAAAAAAAACGTTTTCTGATCTATTCATACAGCTGAAATTGTGTATTAGATAATCTGTAATATTGCTCCCACTGTCAGGGACAGCTCCAGTATGGGGGCATAGAGCCGCGGTCTCCTCCCAAGGCTGTACCGTATTTATAAAAAAATGTATATCGTTAACAACAAATGCATATTATAATATGTACTTTCATACGACATACACGTATGTACATAGAGCCATGATGTATGACGGTTGAAAGTAGTTTCATCACACTTTGGAGACTAAAAACTTGGCTCCGTTCAATGATGACTGAAGTTAGAGTATCAGCATTATGTCTAATTAATGTATATCTTAAAGAAGATATTCTATATCAAATAAATCATATTATTAATATTTTTGCCAATTATAAAAGTAGACGACTTGAATTTGTTTTGTAAAAATTGTTTTCTTTTTGCTATAAGATTTTGTAAAATTATAACTAGCCCCCTCCTCTAACCAAGGCTCTAAAGCCGACCCTGCAGGCTATCTGCTACACCAATCTACATACAGGCACTCTCGAGAAAAATGTAAATTTACTTCTGTAATTTTTCAGTTTACAGATGCAAATACTTTTGAATAGATGGACAACGTAAGCAATCAATGGTAAACGATTGAATCAACAATATTAACTTATAATGTACTGGTGTGAATTTATTCGTTTTAGATTTATTTTTTTAACCTTACATTTTAATTGAACTTAAATTATCAATTATTCAATAACAATTATTGTGTTACACTCGTGATTTTCTCGATTACGATGATCATTCATATCAAACCAATAAATTATTTGCACAGCAAATACGCATTAAAAATAATAATTTTCCTTAATTCTACCGGCCATGTTCCACCGTTCGCAAAGCACAAACGACACAATCTTATAAGATGCTAATTCGCTAAGTTTTTACTAGCGAAATGCAAACACGATTACAGTTTATTTACAAAACGTAACCAGGTATATATACGAAATTCATATCATAAATACACGAACATGTGTGTAATAAAGACCTACGCAGATCTAATGATTTTTTAAGTTAAATGGGCCAATAGATAGTAGTTGAACAGTCTTTATTATTTTATATATTATATAAGTTTTGTTATAAATGATCTTAGAAACGGCACGCTTCCTGTGTCCTGCACATCACGGCGTTTAATATCCAATAACGCAATGCAGCCAAGACGCTTAATATAATTTGTTTTAATTTTTTTAAATTCAATGGCAATCGTAACAAACGAATTTAAATGTGAATTTTATACGAATCGCTTCCCTATAATATTCAACAACTACACTGCGTCCGATGTGAATACATTATTTTCCTTCCCGTTCAATGCAGACATAGGACTGTCTATAGCAACATTAAATATCATACTCCTAAATGTAAATTAAAAATATTGCTTTTCATTGTTCCGTAATTGTTTACATAAAAATATTGTTTTCATCGTTAATTCATTAAGCAAATAAAAATAATAATAATAAAAAAAATGTTATATTAAAATGATATTATATTTTTATTTATGGATTGCTAAAAATTTGAATGATGCAGTTTTGATATTATCAAAACGTGTTTTTTCGTTCACGTCGTATTGAATGATTTGGTTTCTTAAAATTTCTCGTATTTCACGTATTATTTATAATACTATAATGAAAGCAATTTAATATATTATACTTCAGATTTTAACGTAAGTGTCTTTTTGTGCGTTTTTAAGTACTTAAGTAAATTTGTAGATATTTGGATGAGCACTGTTGCCGCCGTAACATAGCGGCCGATCGACACACGACACACACACACACACACACACACACACACACACACACACACACACA